AGAAGGAGCACAGGCCTAGTGCATTACCTTTAAAAATTAGTTTATTGTGTAAAATATGATATACGGTACTCACAAAAGAATAAAAGTCAAAGGCACATCATAAGAAATACAGCAAGGTCCAATCTTCCTGGAAGGTGTCTAGTCAGGGACTATAGACCTCCAAATGGCTAATGCGTTTCACATGCCTCTTCCTCAGAGCCGCTACCAGCATGATCTGTGTCCTCTCTAGAGAGAATTGTTAATAAAGGGTAGATGCTATGCTATAATAAAAAAAATAGTGTAGCGCTCTTATCATATAAAAATATGTGCCAAATATATAATATAAAAACCTAAAATAAATAAAATAAATATATTGTATTCCTTCATAAGCAATAGTGAAAAACCAATAAATAGTGCCAGGGTAAAATTCATCACCCACTTACAAAAAACACATACACATATTTGATATAAATAGTAAGTGACTGATAATAAACACAAATATATATATAGTGCACACACACCTATATTAAACAAAAAAAATCCAAAAAAACTATATCCAATAAAAAAACTATACAATATAATTCACAGTGCTCACACAGTGCAAAAGAATGTGTCCTCTCTGTTAGAAAACAATCTCAGCAATGTCCTTTGTGGAAATAAAATAAAATCATGCAATGTGAAATGGTGTTAAATCCGTGTTTGTGTCAAAAAACACTCTTCTCCTAATAACGGCTAGATTGCCTCCTCACCTCCTCCCAATGACCCCAAGGGGCCAACAGGCTTTCAGGATCACCCTGGATCCTTGGTTTATAATGGCCAGCAGCTTCCTTCCTTTCCTGGATCTCCTTATCGGGGCTCCTATTGCCCCTGATGAGCCAAGGTAGTTTCACACAGCACGCGCATAACGTCAAAAGTTCCAGCCAGCGCGAACTGATGACGGAACTCGGCAGCGAGAACAAAGGCTAGGAAGGCAGGAGAAGCTGAATGAAGGCTAGGAAGGCAGGAGAAGGGAACGAAGGCTAGGAAGACAGGAGGAGGTTCTCGCTGCCGAGTTCCGTCATCAGTTCGCGCTGGCTGGAACTTTTGACGCATGCGCGTGCTGTGTGAAACTACCTTGGCTGATCAGGGGCAATAGGAGCCCCGATAAGGAGATCCAGGAAAGGAAGGAAGCTGCTGGCCATTATAAACCAAGGATCCAGGGTGATCCTGAAAGCCTGTTGGCCCCTTGGGGTCATTGGGAGGAGGTGAGGAGGCAATCTAGCCGTTATTAGGAGAAGAGTGTTTTTTTGACACAAACATGGATTTATTACCATTTCACATTGCATGATTTTATTTTATTTCCACAAAGGACATTGCTGAGATTGTTTTCTAACAGAGAGGACACATTCTTTTGCACTGTTTGAGCACTGTGAATTATATTGTATAGTTTTTTTATTGGATATAGTTTTTTTGGATTTTTTTTGTTTAATATAGGTGTGTGTGCACTATATATATATTTGTGTTTATTATCAGTCACTTACTATTTATATCAAATATGTGTATGTGTTTTTTGTAAGTGGGTGATGAATTTTACCCTGGCACTATTTATTGGTTTTTCACTATTGCTTATGAAGGAATACAATATATTTATTTTATTTTTTTAGGTTTTTATATTATATATTTGGCACATATTTTTATATGATAAGAGCGCTACACTATTTTTTATGATATATTGACACTGTTTTGGTATCAGTTTTTGAGTGTTGGCAGCTTTAGACTAGGTTGTATACTTTCATTTCATAGCGCAGGAGGATCTCTGACCATTAGATGCTATGCTACCCCCTCCCGTGGGAGGGGATAGCAGATATGTTTGTTGTTCAAAGTGGGGCCCTAAAGCCCATATGGTTGGCAAAAACATGAATTGGTTAGTATAATATAATAATCATAAGGTGCCCCGTATAGTACATACAATAGTGATAACTGTATGGTCACTCCAAGAAAGTATATTTTTCATCAGTATTTTTTCATGTAAGGTCCTCTAGACAGTAAAGTAGTATAATGCCACCAAAGAAACTGTAATAACAAATCCAAGCTACCCAATCAATAAAATAATACAAATAGATGGATGTTATAGATCTTGTAGATGTGGGGTCTCTTGCTGATAAAATATACATATACTGAGTCTACAGATCCATAACCCAGCATACAGTAAACATTAGATGCTGGACATGATTGGCATAAATGCGTGCACAGGGGGTGGGGGGGACCAGGGTGCTTTATTTTTTTTTAAAGTTATTTAGATTTTTAAAATTATTTTTACACTGTCCCTTTCATTTTTTTTATCACTTTTAATGCTATCACAGGGAATGCAAATATCACCTTTAACTTTAATGGGCATTGTCATATATTCTTTTTTGAGAAATCTGGGGTCTATCAGACTCTAGATATCTCCTCTGCCCTTACATTATCTAATCTCACCAAGATCGGTGTGATCAGATGCTTTCCCAATTTACAAATGGCGCAGTTTATATCCAGCAAAACTGAAGTGATGAAATGCTTGTAGCTTCTGATTTCTTAGACTATAGAGATGATTGGCACCATTCCAGTCTCCAATCAACTCTATGGTCAGCTGGCAGAAACACCAGTTGCATTCTCAGGTTCCCTTGATGGTACGGGACTGCCCGAGAAGGCCGTGGAAGGCAGCGGGGGAGGGGGTCATCGTCTCCCGCTGCTTGTAAAAGCAATCCTGCAGCTAAATAAGCCACTAGGATTACTTTTGCATGAAAGCCGATCACCGGTTGAAAAAAACAATACATGGATGATGCCTGCAGCTGTAGGCATCATCCTGGAATAAACATTCAAAGTCCAGTGATGTACCAGTATGCCGCTGGTCCTTGTTGGGTATATATGCTATGTTCTTTTTTCTTGTATGCAGCCTGTGGGCTGAATGAAAAAAAGAGAAGAAATCTCTGCCAGAAAAAGTGTGTGGTATGCCCACCATTAGAATATACCGCCCTGCATCCACCCAATTCTAATGGTGGGCACACATTAGGTTGCACGGTGCCATATGCGCCAATTCCAAGATTGTACAAATGTCTAAATAGTGGCACGCTTGAATAAAAATTGTCTACGTATAAGTGGTACCCCATATGGAAAAAGGATGACTCCAAGTCCCAAACTATCTTGCCACTACTCCCCATGTAGTCTGGGCATCCAGAGGGGCTCCACGTGACTATCTTATCCTTCGTAAATTCGAAATTTATATGTATAGCCTGTTGCCCTATCACAGGTCTTATACAGCTTGACCCCATATCTGGCACACTTGCTGGGGAGAAATTGTTTGAATTCAAGGCGGCCATAAAAATTAATGAGGGACTCATCAACACAGAATTTTTGCTGGGGAGTATAGACATCTGCAAATTTTTGGTTAAGGTGATTTATGAGGGACCGAATTTTGTGCAGCCAGTCAAATTCAGGGTCACCCGAAGGACGACAGAGTGTTTTGTCATTGAAATGCATAAAACACATTATACTTTCATATCTATGCCTGGCCATGGCAGCAGAGAACACGGGCATATGATGAATCGGGTCTGTGGACCAATACAACCGCAATTAATTTTTTTTGGTAATGCCCATGTTAAGGGTTAGGCCCCAAAAAATGTAAATTCGGAAACCGTAATGGGTTTTCATGCAAATGGTCTAGCAAGGTTTGAATTTTGGGTTGGCGACGATAAATTGTTGTGCATATAAATTGCTTTGATCCACAATCAATGCATACAGATCTTCTGTGAAAAACAGATCCACAAATATCAAGGGGAGTAGTTAAATTTGCTGTTTCCACCTGAATTCCGGGTTGGGCAGTGAATAGGGGAAGTACGGGTGCTGCAGAGCTTGTGGGCTGTCAATCGTGCTTTGCAAGCACATCTGTAAAGATACTAGGGGCTCTATGGGCCTGTGTGTGAATTCTTGGTGGTTGTGGGACAATACTTGTGCTTGCCACCGCACCAGCTTGTACTGCACTTATGGGACTCGCCACGTCACCAAGTGATACTGCAGTGCTGGTATGTGAAAGACCAGGATGTACTAGGCCACTGGTGCTCGCCAGTTTACAAAGAGGTAGAGCAGCACTAGTACTGGCACTGAGGGTCATCAAACTTTACCAGCAAGTGCTAGCAGAGATCAAGTCTGATTCTGCGTACACTGCGGTTTTGTGTGCAATGTATCAAGTGACAGTGACCTACTGACACTGCACTTGCTGGGAAAGAAGAGGGGGATAAGCGTAGGGGTTAAACGCAGTTGCTGGCAGGTGCAAGGGCTAATCCCGCTAATGCTGTGTTTTTGGGGACACTATACTAATATGAATACTTGTATAGAGCTGACCTGATCAAAGATATTTATTCTTTCAGACACTATACTAGCAATGGAGGTTTATTGTGTATGAGCATGTGCCTGGCAATCAAGGGGTTAAATGTGATTACGTGTGTAGTGATGGGCAATCTTATGCTATCTCGGAGGGGCGTGAAAAGTACGGGAGCGTGACTCACGGATATATATACATGATTTTGCACACTCGTGCTGCCCTGTAGCAGTAGTTCTGGTATAGGGCGGTCAGTAAGCATTTAAAGAAGCGGTTTGTGTTACAGCTCTGCATTACTTTAGCTGACAATTGCGCGGTCATGCAACGCTGCACCCAATTGAAATTTATGTCCTTTTCTTTCCCACAAATTGAGCTCTCTTTCTTTCTTTGGTATTTGATTGCCCGTGTGTTTTTTATTTTTTGAGCTATAGAAAAAAAAGGCGACAATTTTGAGAAAAAAAATAATATTTTGGACTTTTTGCTATTAAACATGTCCAGTAAAAAAATTTTAAAATCAAATTTCAACATACGTTTAGGACAAATTGTATTCTGCAACATGTCTTTGCTAAAAAAAAAATCAAAATACATGTAAAGTAATTGGTTTACGTGAAAGTTATACCATTTGCAAATGGCAGTATAGATGCTGGAATTTTTTTTTATACTAATAATGGCGATGATCAGTGACTTATAACGGGACTGCGGCAGGCATTCTGACACTGGGGGGAACTGACTTGGTGTCACTGACATCCCCAGTGACACCAATACAGTGATCAATGCTAAAAATAAGCACTGACACGGTACTAATGGCACTGGGCAGGAATGGGTTAACATGAGGGGCAATCAAAGGGTTAACTGTGTGATGGGAATGTTTTACTAGGGGGGGGAGCTTCACTGTAACCACACTGCTCTGGATGGCTCTGCTCAACCATCCAGAGAAGTGTGCCCGAATTGACAGGGAGGAGGGCTGTTGGCAAACAATGCAACCCTCCTCCCTGACGGTGATCGCCGGTAATCGGCGGGGGCACCGGCGGGTAATCACCGGAAATGCAAAATCACGTATATATACGTGATCCTGTGCACAGGGGCTATAGCAGTAAATGTACTGTGGGTGGTCCTAAAGTGGTTCATAATGTTTTTACATGAGGTTCCTTGCTCCCTAGCTTTGGGGAGAGTACCTGCAATAAGTGAACAGTCAATGAACAGAGCCCAGACCAAGTTTCTCCACTGTCACTCTTTATCACTTAAATAAATAATTGTAACAACAGTACTTCCCATGTAAGAGGGTAGGCAATACATGTATATGCAATGTTCCCCTCACATTGGAATGCGGCATTCATTTTGTTTGTGCTCCCTTTCTTCCACCTTTTTTGTGTTCTTACCTGACAGCTAAACCATTATTCCTCGTGGACATCTGTGTGGTACGTTTGCTTTTTTGTGGCTTTGCTTCCTGGAAGTGAAGAAGGTTCAGATGTACCATTTGGTTGTAGCAGCAACAGCGAGCTTGTTACAAGCTATATCACCAGGAGTGGGAGTTATAATACACTGAGATTGCTGTGCTACTGAAGCCTACAAGAAAAGTTTTCTGTGGCATCTGATGGAAAGAGTGGGCAGAACAGTGACAAACAGAGACAAACTCAGCCTCCAGTGATGACTAGCCCAGCCTATTAGGTTGTTGCCTGTCCATCTTTTAGCTTCTAGGTTTTTTTCTTAAATCATTTTTGCTTTTCTTTTTTGAGAGCATGTTGAGCTATTTGTAATTATTTTGGGTACCATTGGATGCGGAAACATTGTTTTTACCTACTACTTGTTAGTGGTTTTGAGTATTACTATTGTTACAAATTTATTGGAGTTTAAGTTATCTGATGAAAATTGTATACATTTGAATATGTCATTATTTTATGTTAAAAAATATAGTTTGATAAAAAAAAGAATAAAATTGCATATTAGGAGAATATTCAAGTCAGATAAAACTGAAGGAGGGTGCTGAATTACTCTTAGATCATTCGAACACATCTATCCGTTATGTCTTCCTAATTCAATAATCTTTAACTATTAGGCCTGTGGGAGAATATCATTTTTAATAAAGTACATCAAAACCAATTTCCCCCCAATAAATATCATGTTACTGGCCTTTTCTATGAAATATCCTATTTATAAAGGCCTTCATGATGGCTGGTTTTCAATCCACTTCTTTAGAATATGAGTTGCTATGGAAGCAGCAAAGTTGGATCTACATGAGAGCTCAAAAGGTTGGTTGCAAGAAATGTAATAGTTACAAGACTCATACTGTAGTTGTGCTAACCATTCTCTATGAAAACATTTAACGTGACAGCTGTATTGTATGGATTTTGGACATTCCTTTGTCTTTTGGGCCATCATAAAGAACCTATGAGAATTTATATTGAAAATTTAGATTAAATCCAGAATTATTTCATATCTTTATGCATGGTAAAAGAGGAATGTGTTTGGGTGATTTACCTATAGAATTAGATAGGGTAAACAACGTTTGACCAGCCCCCTGATGTGCTTGTACTCCATTTAGGTCTAAATTACATTGAGAAGCAGAAAGATTAGATTTATTTTCAAAATTAAAAATGATATTTTTCAGTAGATACTGTCCTCACCAAGTACAGCAATAGTCTTTTCAGAAAGAGTACCCCATTTATTTGGCTTTATTCTTTAGACCGTCAGCTATTTGACAAAAATTATAAAACAGGTTAAAGCAGAGCTCCACTCAAAAGGGGAAGTTCTGCTTTAAGGCCTCCTCCCCGGCTTCTGGTGAGGAATTACCACTTTTAGGGAGCGGTTACTTGATTTTGACAGGTACCTGTTCTCATTTCCGCTCAGACCGCCTAGACCAGCGGTTCTCAACCTGTGGGTCGCGACCCCTTTGGGGGTCGAACGACCATTTCACAGGGGTCACCTAAGACCATCGGAAAACACATATTTCCGATGGTCTTAGGAACCGAGACACCGCTCCTCTGTCTCAGGCGATGTGTGGGCGGGATGCCCCTGTCACCCGGCCACACCTCCGGGATCACTCAACAGCTCCGCCTCCTCGCCGCTGATTGGCCACCGGAACTGTAGCTCAGGAGAGGCACACAGGCGGCCAATCACCAGCGAGGAAGTGGAGCTTGGAGAGGAGGAGCCGAGCGGCAGCGTGCGTAGATCAAAGAAGATCGAGGGAGCTGCCGGAGCGAGTGAAGAGGAGAGCGGCGAGAGAAGGAAGACAGCTGACAGGTAAGTGCAAATTTTGCTGCTGCAGCCAGGTATGCTGGGTGTAGATGGGAGAGGGAGAGAGCGAGCCCAGGCTGGAGCAGGGGTCAGCAAGGTAAGTATCATTGGTGTCAGTGGAAGGAATAGTGCCCCATCATTTGTGTCACTAATACCAATTTCTCCCACACATACACCAAACGATGGGGCACTATTCCTCCCCCCACTGACACCAACAATGGGGCACTATTCCTCCCCCCACTGACACCAACGATGGGGCACTATTCCTCCCCTCACTGACACCAACGATGGGGCACTATTCCTCCCACTGACACCAACGATGGGGCATTATTCCTCCCACTGACACCAAGAATGGGGCACTATTCCTCCCCCCACTGACACCAACGATGGGACACTATTCCTCCCCCCACTGACACCAACGATGGGACACTATTCCTCCCCCCACTGACACCAACGATGGGGCACTATTCCTCCCACTGACACCAAGAATGGGGCACTATTCCTCCCCCCACCGACACCAATGATGGGACACTATTTCCCCCCCCCCTACTGACACCAATGATGGGGCACTATTCCCCCTCCTGACCCCAATGATGGGGCACTATTCCCCCCTCCACCACACTGACATCAATGATGGGGCACTATTCCTCCCACTGACACCAATGATGGGGCACTATTCCTCCCACTGACACCAATGATGGGGCACTATTCCTCCCACTGACACCAATGATGGGGCACTATTCCTCCCACTGACACCAATGATGGGACACTATTCCTCCCACTGACACCAATGGTGGGGCACTATTTCTCCCCACTGATACCAATGATGGGACACTATTCCTCCCACTGACACCAATGATGGGGCACTATTCCTCCCACTGACACCAATGGTGGGGCACTATTCCTCCCCACTGATATCAATGATGTGGCACTACTCCTCCCACTGACACCAATGGTGGGGCACTATTCCTCCCACTGACACCAAAGATGGGGCACTATTCCTCCCACTGACACCAATGATGGGACACTATTCCTCCCACTGACACCAATGATGGGGCACTATTCCTCCCACTGACACCAATGATGGGGCACTATTCCTCTCACTGACACCAATGATGGGGCACTATTCCTCCCACTGACACCAATGATGGGGCACTATTCCCCCCACTGACACCAATGATGGAGCACTATTCCTCCCACTGACACCAATGATGGGGCACTATTCCTCCCACTGACACCAATGATGGGGCACTATTCCTCCCACTGACACCAATGATGGGGCACTATTCCTTCCACTGATACCAATGATGGGGCACTATTCCTCCCACTGACACCAATGATGGGGCACTATTCCTTCCACTGATACCAATGATGGGGCACTATTCCTTCCACTGATACCAATGATGGGGCACTATTCCTCCCACTGACACCAATGATGGGGCACTATTCCTTCCACTGATACCAATGATGGGGCACTATTCCTTCCACTGATACCAATGATGGGACACTATTCATCCCACTGACATCAGTGATGGGGCACTACTCCTTCCACTGACACCAATGATGTGGCACTAGTCCTCCCACTGCAAAATTACAGTTATGAAGTAGCAACGAAAATAATTTTATGGTTGGGGGTCACCACAACATGAGGAACTATATTAAGGGGTCGCGGCATTAGCAAGGTTGAGAACCACTGGCCTAGACAATCAGAAGCGAAAGTTTTCCTCTTCCTTCCCTCCCACAAACATCTGGGACATGTGACAGGTCCCAGAAGACTGCAGGGCCATTCACAATGCACAGCACAGCTGGCACATGCGCAGTGGGCACCTAACCATGAAGCCGCAAGCTGTCACAGCCGGATGCCCACAGTTAGGATGCCGGCACGAGCACCGCACACGGTCCCCCTAAGATGAGCACATCAGTGGATCTTGGTACAGGTAAGTGTCTGATTATAATAAGTCAGCAGCTACAGTTTTTGTAGCTACTGACTTTTAATTTTCAAAAAAACTGACCGGAGCTCTGCTTTAATCTAGCTATAGTAGAGCTTACCTTTGAAGGAGCCATTTGTGGATTGGTCCCCTGATTCCAGATGGCAACTTACCTTCTGGCAATGCCAAAACCTATTACACCCATGGCTATAGAAAGAGGTTCTATTTTAGGAAATATTTTCTACAAAACAACACATATGGAATGGCAATAGCAATAAACAACGACATAACAATTTTGTACAACACTACATGCAATGAGAGGACCTCAGTGACTGATAAAAAAAAGTTGGCCAGCAAAGTTGGGGCCCTTGAAGAAAGCACAACAGTTCCCAGCAGAAAACAGATGAACTCTACAGAAGCTGTACAATGTTAGTTTCTTACCAGTCCCAGGGCACAGTCTTCTGGGTCTGGACACATGTTCTGATTTAGTACAATCCCAGTTCAAGTCAGACAGGGATAGAAGTTGATGTGATCTATCTCTTTTTAATCCTGCTGAGACAGTCCCTCTTTTCCTTCCTTAGGTGTTCTCGAGTACATTCTGATCTCAACGGGCATGCAAATCACATCCTCCCAGGGACAGGTTCTCCTTTCTCAGTCTTCTTCCCTTTTCTCACCAGCTTGCAGACCCCCTCTTTTTGGTCTGTTGCATCAGCTAATCACCTCAAGGATTGAGTCAGGCCCAGTTAAGATAGCTGCCCTCTGCACTGGAGACACTAAAACGTGGTCTCCTTAAAGATGCCTGCTGCACTTCTGCATTAATGAATATTCAGTTTAATCCTGTTCTAGAACTCACAGGGCTTCAATGAAAAATATATATGATGAAGGTATTCA